GGGGGGTTTGGATCCCTGGATCTGGCTGGGAGGCACAGCAGTGGCCAGTCCGGTGGGAACAGGAGCACCACTCACGGAATGGAAGGGAGAAAGGATAATGGTTTTCCTGTCTGCGGGGGAGGGAGTGGGGCAGGCTGTGGCTCGGAGGAATGTGACTGTCCCTCCCCAGAGTTCAGGCACTCAAGCAGCAGCTGCTTCTGCCTCGAGGGTGGGCTGCCTGCTGGAAACATCCACCTGGTACCCGATACTCCCGATGCTCTCTTCACTTGTTCGCACAGCCCTGTTCCCCTGGCACATTCCTTTTCATGCTGGTGGCTGAGAACTGGCTCTGCTTTTCCAGGTCACTGCCCGGCTGTTGGATAAGACAAGGAGGCAGTGGCTGCTGCATTTAAAGCTTCCTCTGTGGTTCCCTTTTTTACTAAGGAAACATTTCCTTTGGAACCAACTCCTGGCCTGGAGCTTGATAAATAAAGAAAAATAGTCTGCAAGCCCTTAAAATAGCAGCGGTTTATGAGCCTGGGTCCGGGCCAGGCTCCTGGGGCTGCCTTTCCCTGGCTGCAGCTGGATGTCGGGGGGAGCCGCCGCCTGTGCCCCCTCCCACAGCCCATGGTGGGCACGGGGAGCCGGAGCCGCACCCGTGGCTCTGGGGTCACCTTAGTGGGGCACGGCACGGCACGGCACGGCACGGCCCCGCTCTGCCAGAGCCCCCGGAGGGGACCCTGGGGACAAGGCACGGCCTCAGCACCGGCGTCTGTCAGGTGGGAAGCGGTCTGGCTGCCGGAACCGGGCACGGGGGGTTGAGAGCAGCAGCTCAGCCCTCCCGGCAGCCGGGGTCGCCCCCTCCCCACCTGGCCTCGGGAACCCGAACCGGGAAACCCCGAACCGCGGGCTCCGGGGGAAACAAACACCGGGGGGCTCCGGGACACCGGGCAGCGCTGGAAAGGGCTCGGCTCGGCTCGGCTCGGTTCGGCTCGGCTGGCTCGGCACAGCCCATCACGGCACGGCTCCGCACGGCTCGGCACGGCCCATCACAGCACAGCCCATCACGGCACGGCTCCGCACGGCTCGGCACGGCCCCCGCAGCCGCTCCGCCCTCGCGGGCGGGCCCGTTCGGGGCGGTGCCGGAGCCGCGCGGCGGGGCCGGGAGCGGAGCGGGAGCGGAGCGGGAGCGGGACGGGAGCGGCGGAGAGAGGTGCGGGGTGCGGGGTGCGGGGGCACTGCTGGGGCTGGGGAGGGGGCACTGCTGGGGCGGGGGGCACTGGAAGGAGTGGGGCCAGAGCTGGGATCTCAGGGCTGGGTTACTGGCTGTGATGGGGGCTGACTTACTGCTGGAGTCCGGACAAACGGGGCTGTGTGGGCACTGCTGGGGCTTGGGGGAACCGGGATCGGGGTTTTCTCGTAGGGCTTGGAGGGACTGAGAGCTGGGGTTACTGGTGGGATGTGGGACTACTGGTTCTGGTGAGGTGTGGGCTCAGAGGTGGGGTTACTGGGGTTCCTGGTGGGATGTGGGGTCACTGATTCTGGCGAGGTGTGGCTCGAGGTGGGGTTGTGGGGTGTGGGGTCAGTGCAGGGGTGCGGCAGTGGGCCGTAGGGTGGGGTGCAGCGGGACAGGGTGGGGTGGGTGTGCCCAGGGTGGGGTGGGGGTCCCTGGGTGTGGTGAGGGATGGGTCAGCTGCGCCTCAGTCGCTGCAAGCTGTCATTCCTTGAGGGTGGCCTTGGGCTGTGGGTCCCAACTTGCAGTTGTCCCCCAGGTAGTGCCTGACCTGGGATGAGCCTGGGGGCTGCTGCCCCATCCCACATCCCTCCCCACAACCCCACTCCAGCAGTGTCCCCGTGTACAGCCTTGCCCATGGAGTGGCCGCTCTGTTTTCTTCAGAAAGAGGGAAAAAAAGTTCCCTTTCCTTACTGCTGAGCTCATTCTTAAACATTTATATTAGGGGGGTTTGTGGGGAGGGGAAATAATTGTGTAATGTCTTAGGAGCAGGGGAGCATTCCAAAAGCATGACTGCGTGGCCTTTTCCAGTGCTAGCAGTCTGGCAGCCAAGTCTCCCAGTGGCCAACCTCCCTAAAGCCAGCCCCGGCCTCTCAACACTCCCGGGAGAACGGGGCTGTGATCCCTGGGGCTGTGATCTCTGAGGCTGTGATCTCTGAGGCTGTGATCCCCAGAACTGTGATCTCTGGGGCTGTGATCTCTGGGACTGTGATCCCTGGGGCTGTGATCCCTGGGGCTGTGATCCCCAGAACTGTGATCCCTGGGGCTGTGATCCCCAGAACTGTGATCCCTGGGGCTGTGATCTCTGGGGCTGTGGTCTCTGGGCTGCATCTGCCTGGGGGGCTGGCAGCAGGGGCCTGGCTGAGCCCCCCAGGCTGACATCCCTGGGAAAGTGTTCCAGGGAAAACTGGAGACTGGAGGATTGGCTGGCTGTGTGTCACGGGCACCAGTTGCATTTTGTTTCTATTTTGCCAAGTGCTTTTGGTGTCCAAACAGTTCCAGTTTATGCCCAGCTCCTCCTCCTCAGCTCAGAGACTGCATGAGATTTTGTGGACTTGCCCTGGTATCCAGGCTCCTGACAGCTACAGCTTCTCCGGGGAAAGGTGTAAGTGGAAAATAAGCCAAGTCACTGTCTTCCAACAGGTTGTCAGGAGCGTTTAACCAGGCTCAGCTCCCGACTGGCCGTTTGCACTGGAGAGGAGCACTGACATGAAAAGTAAGGAGCTGCATTAGCGCACGCTGCTCGGCGCTGGGCAGGCAGGCGCTGCACGAGTGAGCGCAGGCATCTGCTGAGATTGTGGCGTGTTGTTTGGAGCTTTCAGCAAGACACTCCTCTACCGTGAGGCTGGGAAGGCTGTCACTGCTGCAGGAGGTAAAATAAGAACATGGCATGATGTCCTTTGGAAAAGGAGGTAAGGGCAGGCAGCTTTTCCCTCAATGCTCAAACACTTGTGGTTTGAGCTTTGTTTAGGCTTTCAAATTCTTCTGTTCCAAGTTCTTTTCTCTGTTTTGCTTGTGGATGTTTTTTGTGGGATTTAGCAATGAAAATGAGCCAGCCTGGACACTCTGCTCCGGGTCTGGGTCTGGACAGTTGCCCCTTGCCACTGGCGTGTGTGTTAAGCCCAGCCTGCCTGGTTGTGCCCAAAGAATATCTCAAAAAAAATGGGTAAGGTCTAAACTTGAGCACTGGGTTGAGCTCCTGTTTTGACAGTCACTTGTTTGGCTGTAGCAGGTCTAGAGGTCTGAGGAAGGTTTCAGGCAGCCCTCTCAGTGGTAAATACAGACATTTTCCGTGCTGCTGGGAGGTTTTGGCAGCAGAGGCAGGCGGGATGGCAGGTGAGCCAGGGGCTGGGAGCAGCAGCACGGCTGGGGCACGTGGGTGTGGGTCAGCCGGGGTGCCAGTGAGGGCTCAGGGCAGGGGGCTCAGGGCAGGGCTCAGGGCAGGGGGCTCAGGGCTGGGGGCTCCAGGCAGGGCTCAGGGCTGGGGGCTCAGGGCAGGGGGCTCAGGGCTGGTCTGCTCTGCACAAACAGCACAGCTCAGCCCGCCTGGGGGATGGAGGAGTGCCAAAGTCCAGGTGCTGCTTTGCCAAAGCCACTTGGATGGTCTTGAGCTGTGATCTGCCCAGGAGCCCATGCTCTGCCCTGCCCATTGCACTGCCCCTCAGCATCACTGTTTGCTTTCAGCCCCTTTTGGAAATTTTTTCTGCCTTTCAGCCTTAATGATTCTGTGATTCTGCAGTAAGAATCCCTCTGGTGCTTGCAGCAGTGGCTGGGACACTTGTCCTGTACTGCCTTGGCCGTGGCTTAGGTGTCTCAGCAAATGAAATTCCCCACAGTGGGCATTCCTGTGGGGCTTTAGTTTGGAAGTTTACTTGTTCTATCATTGTACCAGTGAGTCCAAGCTGCTAAAACCATTTCTGCAGTGGAACTGCCCCACAGCACTGGGGACATCCCTGCCAAGGGGCTGCTCCCAGCACAGCTCTCTCCCCCTAGCCCTGCCCAGACTTCAGAGCTGTGCCTCTGGCCAGGGCTGTGTCCCTGGTGTGACCGGTCTGACCAGGGTGGGGCCCTCAGCAGTGCTTGGGAATTTCTGCTTTAGAACAAAACCCCTCTGTTACCTCTAGGAAGTCGAGTCTGGCCAAGGAGGTTCATTGAAAGATTTCTGTCCCTGGTTGGAGCCCTTCAAAGCATTAACATCTTTCTCTGCTATTCCTGAGTCCCCGTAGCAGACACTGGATGATGGACACATCCTGCTGCCAGAGGAATTCCCTATATCCTGCTCAGCAGGAACTTCACGTGTTGAGGCACAAAGCTGGGAGAGACCAGCAGCACAAGGGCTGCCCTGGAGCCTGGCTGGTTTTATGGTGATGGCTTTAGAATAGTTGCTGGGAAAGTAGAACAGAGCAATTTGGGGTTGTGCTGCAGCTTTTGGTGAGCTGAAGGAGATTTTGCTCAGGATTTGGCTGGTGCTGGCAGTGGTGGCACAGATTAACCCCCAGCCATCCCCGTGGGGCCCAGCCTGCCTGCAGCAGCAGCTGCAGGACGGGAGCCCTGTGGGCTTTGGCAGTGGGAAATGCTGGCACACAGCTGCTGCTCCCTTTTGTTTTCTCCATGGATGAGCAGGAGGCATCTCCAGCGGGGCCCTGCGAGTGCTGCTCACACCCAAGAGCTGCCAGGGTGCATTGCCAGCGTGGGCTGGGCAGTGCTGGCTATTTTGGGGTGGTTGGCACTTTGCAGGCTTTAAAATCTCAGCTTTCGTGTCTGTTGTGGATGACTGTGTGCTTTTTAATCATTTGGCAGTTGTAGCAAAGCTGTCCTCAGATTATCACAGAATCCCAGAGTGGTTTGGGTTGGGAGGGACCTTAAAGTTCATCCCATCCCATCCCATCCCATCCCATCCCATCCCATCCCATCCCATCCCATCCCATCCCATCCCCTGCCATGGCAGGGACACCTTCCACTGTCCCAGGCTGCTCCAAGCCCCTTCCAACCTGGCCTTGGACTCTTCCAGGGATGGGGCAGTCACAGCTTCTGTGGGCAGCCTGTGCCAGGGCCTCACCATCCTCTCAGGGAATAATTTCTTCTGGAAGGGGCTCTGAGGTCTCCCCAGAGCCTTCTCTTCTCCAGGCTGAGCACCCCCAGCTCTCCCAGGCTGGCTCCAGAGCAGCTCCAGCTCCATGGCCTCGCTCCAGCAGCTCGGTGTTCTCCCTGTGTTGGGGTCCCAGCTCTGCAGTGGGGTCTCACTGAGGGGCAGAATTCCCCCCTCCCCTGCTGCCCACCCTGGGGGATCAGCCCTGCACACTGGGCTGCCAGTTAATGCTGCTGTTGAGCTTCTCATCCACCAGCACCCCCAAGCCCTTCCTCTCAGGGCTGCTCCCACTTAATTCTTCTGCATTTGTACTTGTGATTGTGCTGTTTGTCTTCGTGAAGTTGCCTTCATGTTTTCCACTCTTTTTATCTGCTCATAATCTGGCGACAGTGCAAACAGAATCCTCATCCCAGGGTCTGGCCTCATGCTGCTGAGCAACAAGAGCATCCCCTGGCAAAGCAGCTCATCTCTCCTGGCACAGAGAGGTGCTGGCATCGGGTGCTGGTGCTGTGCCAGCTGCTGGCTCCAGGGCAGGACCGGGGCACCCCGCCGACCCCTCAGGCTCACAGCCCTTGCAGCCTCCTTGCCCTGCTCGCCTTTGCACACCAGCTCTGGATTAGTAATGGGCTATTTCTGGATGGCTCTCCTGAGTAATGGAATGAATTGTGCTGAGATTTTGGGTGGGGACCGTGCCTCTGCCCTGTGAGTCACGGCTGGGCTCTGCGCCGGGCGCCGCGGGGCCGGAGCGTCCCGGGTCAGGGGGGACCTGGGGCCGTGGGAAGGAGCTCTGGCTGTGGGGACCTGCTCAGCTTGGGGCAGAGGCAGTGCACCCTGCTTGGCTTTGCTTTCAGTGCAGAGTCTGCAGGCTGGGCATGGGCAGAGCCTGGTGTCTGTCTGTTTGTCCTGGAGTGGCTGTTTGTCCTTGGGCATCTCCTGCTCCTCACGCTGCAGATGTTGTCAGCTGTGGGTGAGATATTGGCACGGCCCAAAACGCCTTTCCTCTTGGAGATAGGGAGCCACAAAGCAGCATATCATGTTCTGCTGTGGGCAGAGAAGCTTTGTGTGCAAGCAAACAGGCTTCTTTCTCCCTGACTCTCTGTTTTCTGTGCTGTGGACCTGCTGCTGGAGAGAGGACGAGCCTCTGGTCAGACAAGAAGGATGGTTTGCAGCAAGGGTTGGTCTTGTGCATCCTGGAGGTGTTTTCCAGCCTTAATGATTCTGTGGGATTGTGGGTTTGCCTGGCCCAGCTGGGCAGGAGCAGCAGGGCATGAGGAACAGGGACAGGAACTGTTTCCCCCCATGCTCAGCACTTACCTCCCTAAAAGCGCCCCTGGTTCCTAAAAGGGACCCTTTGGTGCACCTTTTTCTTTTGTTCTCTGACTTCAGTGTTGCACAAATGTGCTCACCTTCCTGTAGCCATGCTCCTCCACTGGGATGTGTGCCTGGCACCAAGGATCCCAGCTGAGGAATGTCCCATCTCCCGGATGCAGCCCTTGATTCTCACTCTTCTCACCTTACAAGTGCCAGCTTTCTATTTTTATCAACAGCTCCAGAGCACTCAGCAGCCATGAGCCATTCCTGCCTCAGCCTGTGAGCCAAAATGCTGGGAAGCTACAAAGATCCGTGGCTCCAGCAGGGTCTGGTCCAGGATGGGTGGAAACTCTCTCTTTTGCCCAAACCATTGGGCAGTGTGATTTGTGAAACTGGGGTGGCTCCCCGGGCTCTGAGTGGCAGGGGTGACCTGCCAGGCACATCGGTGAGACACACAGCTCTGCAGCCTGCCTTTGCAATGTGAGTCAGCCATTCAGGCTCATTTCTTAATCCTTCACTTGCAGCTAATTATGATGCAGCCGGACTCCTGCTTTACCCTTTTCCTCCCTTTTCTGTTGGCTCAGGGTGAGGGTGGGATCGCTGGGGCAGGGGCAGATTCCTGGCCTTTGTTAAGGCTCAGTATGAGTGCCCTGGTTAAAGGCCAGGTTTGTGATGTTCTGGCCTTCCCAAGGTGGTGCCAGTGATCCTGCAGGGATCCAGCATGATCCACTCCCTGCTTGCAGCTCAGTGCCTCAGCACTGGTGTGTGTGTGTCCTTCCCATGGGGTTATTTCCTGTGAACCTTCCCCAGGCTCCCAGCATGAACAGCTCCTTCCCACCCTGCTGCCTGGGCAGGGGGTTTGGGGAGGGATAGGGCTGAGGGGGAAAGCATGGAACATCCCTGCCTTCAGGAGAGGCTTCTTGGTCACCCGTAGTTTCGCCCAGAGCAGTGTGAATTTTCAGGGATTAAACCCTGACGTGTCATTCCCAGGATCTCTGCAGGGACAGAGGATGTGCTGAAGGCATGTGAGGAGTAGGACAGGCTCTTTGGACTGGGAATCTGGGGATGGAAAAGAGATTTTGGTCACAAGGCTGGGGAGGGATGTGATCCCACTGCGGCTGATTTTCTCATGCTCATTCAGACGCTGTGCCAGGCATTTTGTGGCATTGTCCTGGCCGGTTCCCAGGCTCAGCTGTAAACCCCTTTTGAAAGTGAGGGATGCAAAGGCATAGTTTTCCTTGCAGAACTGCATCCTTTTCCCGTGGGGAGAAAGCTGCCTGCTTTGTCGTGGGGTCTCAGCTCTGTTTGCTGAGTGATGACTGGCAGCTTCTCCCTCTGCCAGTGCCAGCGTCAGCTCTCTTGGTTCCATGGCAAAGGCTCCTTTTTCAGACAGGCTGGGATGGGGCCAGCCCATGCCGGCTGCCAGGCACACAGGTCCTGCTTGCCCAGACCTCCAGGGCCTTGGCTTGGTGTGTTCCAGCTGCTGATCAGATTATTTGGGGTCTGGTGAGCGTGCTGGGGTGAAATGCGAAGCACAGTTTCTGCCCTGAAGAATGTATAATTTAAAATAAACCCAGCATGTGCGTGGAACTCTGAGATTGTCTAAAATCCTGGTTAGCTGGGTGGTAGCACAGCAAAACCAGGGAGGGTTGGATGTGGGGAAGGCAGAGTGGTTTGTCACCTCCCACAAGGTCCCTGTGTGCAGCCACCAGCACTGACCACAGCTGGGATGGTTCCCCAGCCACAGCAGCAGTGCTGGGTGTAAATGGTTCACTCAGGCCAGTTCTTGCGGTGCCCAGGGGCTGATGTGGTGGGAGCTGGAGGGGTGTCTGGCAGAGGGTTGGGACCTTCTGTCCAGTCAGTCACTAGCAGGGCACAGTGGGATGTGCCCAGGTGCTCGTGTCTGGTGTCTCCCAGGCTGCTGGGCACAGGAATTTGGGGGACCAGGAGCACGAGCTGCCCGTGCTGCTCTGTCCTGCTCATCTGCTCGTGTCCCCACAGCGATGGCAGCCATCAGGAAGAAGCTGGTGATTGTGGGAGATGGTGCCTGCGGAAAGACGTGTCTGCTGATCGTGTTCAGCAAAGACCAGTTCCCCGAGGTCTACGTGCCCACGGTGTTTGAGAACTACATTGCTGACATAGAGGTGGATGGGAAGCAGGTAAGGGCCGTTGCCATTCCTGTCCCCTGCTGGCAGTGCCACTGCTGGGATTGCCCTGTGTGCTCAGAGGCACCTGCACACATAGGGGAGCCCACGGCTCCAGCAATTCTGGGTCACCCTGAGCCTGTCCCAGTTTGAGGAAGAGCACAGCTGTACCTGAGGAAGATAAATCTGTCACTCGTGGCCTGCAGAGCCACTGAGCCGTGTCCTTGTCCCCTCTCAGGTTGAGCTGGCCCTGTGGGACACAGCAGGACAGGAGGACTATGACAGGCTGCGGCCCCTCTCGTACCCGGACACAGACGTCATCCTCATGTGCTTTTCCATCGACAGCCCGGACAGCCTCGGTAGGGACTGGGGTCCCACGGGGCTCGCTGCTGCTGCTGAACCCCCTGGGGTCTGGGAAGCCCCCAAGCTGCCCCTCGACGATGCCAGAGCCTTCCCTTCATCCCCCGACCTTGTGTGCACTTCAGGGGAGTGCTGACTGGGCAAGGTGGTGGGAGAGGGGGGTGCTGTGCGGGGAGCTCTCCCTGCTCCAACGGGAAAAGCCTGGGGCTGGTTTCTGTGAGGAGCCCGTGGGGCAGCAGCCCCTCAGCTCAAAGGATTCCACGTGTGCTTGTTGCAGAGAACATCCCTGAGAAGTGGACGCCGGAGGTGAAGCACTTCTGCCCCAATGTGCCCATCATCCTGGTGGGGAACAAGAAGGACCTGCGCAACGACGAGCACACGCGGCGGGAGCTGGCCAAGATGAAGCAGGTGGGGACAGCCCTGGGTCCCCCAGGCAGCCACTTCTGCCCATGGCAGATCCTGCCTGCAAGGGCTGGATGCCCCAAGGGCAGTCGCTGTTGTGTTCCGGCAACGTTTCCAAACCCTTTTTTCACCGCTTCCTAGGAGCCGGTGAAGCCAGAGGAGGGGAGGGACATGGCCAACAGGATCAACGCCTTCGGCTACCTGGAGTGCTCGGCCAAGACGAAGGAGGGCGTGCGGGAGGTGTTTGAGATGGCCACGCGTGCCGGGCTGCAGGTGCGCAAGAACAAGAAGCGCAGAGGCTGCCCGCTGCTGTGAGCGCCTGGCCGCCCCGCCCGGGGGCTGCGGCCGCACAGCCCCGGCAGCGCCTCGTGGTGCCACCACCTGCCCGAACCCTCCGCACCAGAGCTGCCACCCGCGCTCACAGGGCGTCCCTGCGACATTCCGGGGCCGTGAGGGGCCAGCGCCTTCAGCGCCTGCCGCTCTCCGAGGGCCGGCTGCTCGTGTCGCTCCCCGCGTCGCCCCGTTTTGCCCTGAGCTCCCTGGGTTTGCCCTGAGCTCCCTGGGTTTGCCTTCCCCGTGGGCATTGCTGCGGTGTTCACTCCCTTTCCCAGCTCTGGGCAGGTGCCACAGAAGCAGGAGGTGCCGGTCGCAGCTCACGTGTGGGGTGTGCCGGGCCCTCGGTGCGTTCTGCCTGCGCTCCTGGGCCGTGCAGGCAGCAGCCAGCAGTGTTACAGACTTGCCTGGGCAGTTTCAGCCCTGCCTGAGCAGAGCTGGGCTCAGCTGCTGCCAGCGGCTCCTCCCGGGACGCGTGCCCAGCTCTGCCGGTATCGCCGCCTTCGAGTCTGCCTCGGTCGTGGGCTTGGCAGCACTAAACCCAACTGCTTAATTGGGAGAATAAATGCAAACTGGTCTTTTAGTAATTATAACTTTGCTTGTGTGGTGTTCCTCTGGCTCTCCTTTGTGCTCCTGCCTGGCCCCCAGCTCCTGTCGCTTTAGCTGCTGGTGGAGATCAGGGCTCATTGCCCTGTACTTGCAAAAGAGCCAGGAAGCAGTTTACATGGCAAGGGCCAGACAGGAGCTTCCCAGCTGTACCCAGTCCTGGGCGATGGGCACTGCCATCACAGCTGGAGCCATCCTGCCTCTGGAGCAGGTCAGGGCAGGGCTGCAGGGAGCCTGACGCTGCTCTGAAGCCCTGTCTGTGCAAGCAAGGCCCACCTAGGACTCAACAGTACACTGCTTTTCTTTAAACATTTATTCGAGGGAAATAGAGTGCCTGCACAGCCATGCCAGCTCTCAGGCCAGGCAGCTGCCCAGTGGAGAGCTGAGCCAGCCTGTCCCAGACCAGGTCCCTGCCTGCCCCGGTCACCCATCGCAGCAGCAGGGAGCTCCCCACTGCACCCAGTGAGGCTCTCTGGAGGCCGGAGTCTCCAGGCTTAAGCCTTTCACTGAATGGTGAGACCAGTCACAGAGAATAGTTTTGCCACAGACATGTAAAAAATTATTAAAATGGAGAGTTGTCCCAGTCTGATGCTGGTGTGGGCTTTGTGGCTGGCAGCAAAGGCTGGCAACACCTTCTGGTCCAGTGGGTTCAGCTCCATCTCCACAGGGATGCATGGAGCACCCTGGGACTGAGACAGAAAAAGCAGGAGCTGCTGCAGGCTAGGGACAGGCTGAGGGGGATGCACTTCCTGGGGCCTCTCCCCCCTTCCCAGGTGCATCTCCTGCAGAGAAACCTCACGGCAGAGCTGGCTCCTGACTTTGAGATGGAGACGTGCAAGCCCTAAGCAAAAACCTGCTGTAAGTCCTGTTGCATTTGGGGCAGGAGAAGCCTCCCAGTGCCCCAGCTTTACCTGGCCATGCTGCTGGCCCAGGGTGCTGGCATGCAACCCTGGCAGCCTGCTGCTGTCAGGGCCCCACGGGCAGTGCCCAGCTCTGCTCACCTGGGTGCTAAACACTGAGCTGCAGCGTGTGGAGCTCGTTGGCCAGTCTGTCCTCAGCTGAGCTCTCGTCCTCGTAGGGGTACCCAGTGTAGCCCCCCTGTTCCTTGCAGTACCTGAGGAACCTGCAGGTGCAGAGGGAGGGGAGCATGGGCACGGGGTGGCACCGGCCTCGCTGCTCTGTGGCAGTGGGCATGGCCAGGCAGCGCGTGCTGGCAGCAGCAAGGGCAGGTGCTGCTGAGCACTGCCAGTGGCAGGGCCAGGAGCAGCTCACCTGAGCCAGTGGTCGTCCTTGCTGAGCACGGTCGGATTACCCACCACGACCAACAGAGCCTTGGCCCTGGTGATGGCCACGTTAAGCCTCTGAAGAGGACAAGTGAGAGAGCTTTACCTGGCTGCAACACCTCTCATCGTCTCGCAGCCCCACCTGGGTGCAGGCAGCTCTGGGGTGGCACTGAGCACCCAGAGCAGCTCCACCTGCCTGTGAGAACCAGAGGGAAGAAGGGGATGCCAAGGAAGAAGGCTCTGCCTGGGGCTAGGAGGTACCTTGGGGTTTTTGAGGAAGCCCAGCCTGAAGGTCTGGTCGAACTGGAGGTACGTGCTGCAGCTGCGCACGGTGGAGATGAGGATCACCTGCCGCTCCTGGCCCTGGAACTCTTCCACAGAGCCCACCTGGGGCAGGGACAACAGGTGAGGGGCCAGGAGCACCCCTGGGCTCCAGGGGCTCCTCTCTCCTCCATGCCCAGGACGTACCTTCAGCTGGCTGATGTCTGGCAGCTTCTGCAGATCGGGATCCAGGGAGGTGACGGCTTTCCGGATCTTCTCCACCTGAGTGGAGGCACGTGGCAAAATCCAGCCACCACAGGGCCATCCTTGTGCCAGCCCCGGGGCTGCCCATCCATCCCAGTGCTCCCTGTCCCTTGGGGAGGTCTCTGCCCTGCCCTGCCTTCCTCACCTGCTTCCTGTAGGGAGAGATGATGCCGATCTCCTTGGGGGACACGCTGGGGCAGCTTCCCCTGCCCCGGCTCTGCAGCAGCTTCTTGAGGTAGTGCACCAGCACCTCAATTTCGGCCGTGTTGAAGAATGAGGGACTCCTGGCCTCTCTCTGGTCTTCCCCACAAACGCCATGGAAGATGATGGGGAAGCCCTGGGGATGGAGAACATTTGGCTCTGCTCTGCCTGTGCCTCGGGGAACCCCCTGGGTCAGTCCCTCCACTCACTTTTTTGGGAAGCTCCTCCCAGGTACAAAACAGATTCCGGACGTCAAGCCCGTCGCTCCTGGACACCTTCAGCTCGTTGTCATAGAAGAGCTCGTTGGGGATCCTGAGAATGGCCTCGTGGGACCTGGGAGAGGCAGGACAGTGCCAGGGTGTGTGCCATGTGGGTCCAGAACCCTCTCAGGCACCGTGCAGCCAGGACAGCAGGTGCACTCCCATCTCCCACACCAGCTGAGGCACTCCGAGGCTCTGGGGGACAGATCCTGGAGCGCCATGCTCACCAATCCCTGGCTGGCTCGACCCCTTCCTGCTCTATCCCTGTCCCCACCTGTAGTTCCAGAGCAGTTTGGTGATGAACTGGGGGTCGTAGCCTCCACTCGACTTCTTGTACAAGGGGTTGTGCAGCATCAGCCTCTCCAGCAGCGAGGTGCCTGTGCCAGTGATATCCTGTGGCTCCCCACAAGGCCACTCAGCCCCTGTGGGGTGCCCGCAGCACTCCCACTCCTCTCCCTACTCACCCAGACCATACTGGGTGGCCAGTGGGGAGGTCAGGACGGGGCCCAGCTGCTTGGGGTCTCCTGCCAGCACCAGCTGCCCCCCGTTGGGGTTGGTCTCCTCATCCATGGGAGCCAGGAGCCCTGGGAACAGGGGGAGGTCAGCGGGGAATGGGAGGGAGCCCAGGCCACGCAGAGATGCTGGTCCTTGAGTCAGCAGCCGGGCACCGCTCACCCGCGATGGCGACGACGCTCTCCGGCTCCACGGCGTGGCCGCACTCGTCGATGAAGACATGGGAGAAAAGCCCAGAGGGGAAGTTGGCTGACACCAGCCTGGAGGAGAGATGGAATGGGGCTGTTCTCAGCATCCTGCCCCACCTGGCCATCCTTCCTGTCCTACCCTTCATCCTCATCCTCCCACAGAGGAGGGGTTTCCCCCACTGCTGCCTGCCCTCCTCCAGCCCCTCCCTGCTGAGTCCCAGAGGGACTGCCTTCACAGCCTGCCTGCAAGGCAGCCCTGGGTCCACCTGCCACGGATGCTGGGGACAATCCCAGCTCCTCTGACCTTCCTGCTGTCACCAGTGTGGTGATGATAATCCGGTAGTGCCTCAGGGTCTTCTTGCTTGGGTACACGTAGCTGCTCTGCTCATGATCCCAGTTGCAGCAGGGCTGGAGTGCAGGCATTGGGTGAGGTCCCATTATCCTGGGGGACGCCAGCCCAGATGTGCTGTCAGGATTTCAGGGTGGAGGGGCAGGGACCTACCATGATATCGGGGGGCACTTCCCGGTAGTTCCTGGAGCTGGCGATGAGCCTGTAGACATTCTGAGGGGCAATGTCCTTGATGAGGCACTGGCACAGCAGGTCTGCAGCACTGTTGGAGGGGGCACAGGCCAGGATATGGGCATCCTTGAAGCATGTCCACACCTGGGTGGGAGGAGGAGGTGACAGCATTGAGCCCCATGGATGAGAATGGGCAGCAATGCTCAGGGCTGGATTTGAGCACCGGCCACTCACCTGCTTGATGGCCTCCACCATAGTGACCGTCTTGCCAGTGCCAGGAGGGCCAAAGATGAGGTACGGGGCTGGCCGGGACACCCCCGTCACGATGTGGGTCACAGCTCTGCGCTGCTCCTCGTTGGTCTCCAGCTTGTGGTTGAACCACCTGCGGGAGCAGAGCTGCGCTGCCTCCGTCGCCTCCATCCCCTCATCCCTCAGACCCTCCCACCCTGCACTACGGGGACTCACCGGGGCTGGAAGGGGCCGGAGAACAGGGACTTGTGGCAGGAGGCGGAGGGGAAGAGGAGGCTGAACAAGCCCCGGCGCGCGGCCAGGACTGCAGCCCGGTGCTGGACCTGCAGCGGCAGCCGGCTGAAGGTGAAGGTCACATCGAACTTCAGGTTGTTCACAAACTTCTTCTGCAGCCTGGGAAGGAGTGGTGTGAGCAGGGCACGGGGCACCCCCCCATGCCCTCCTGGCCCTTTCCAACCCACTCCTGGCCCTTGGCATCTCTGAGAAAGGCTGCTGGGAGCAGACATCACTCACTTGGAGGAGAAGCCCAGCCTGACCTTCTCCAGCTCCACGCTGTGCACGTAGCCCTTGTACCGCACGAGCGGGGAGCGGTCCCGCTCGCTGCTCAGGTGGGCAAACAGGTGGTCCCCTCTCAGCACGGACGGGCGGTTCTCAGCCACGCCAGGCACCTGTGCCAAAGGGCCAGTGTGATGCCAGGCACTCTGGGAGTGCCAGCGTTGTGCCAGCACCCCTCCCATCCCTCAGCCCCCCACGCACATCGAGAACCAGCAGCGCCCTGTCCTGCACCATGGTCACATCCTGCATGTCGTAGCGCCGGATGTCCACCTCCATCTGAATCTCCTCCAGGTGCAGCAGCAGCTGGAATTTCTGGTAGTAGTTCTCAGCCTGCAGAGGTGCTTCCAGCAGCGAGCTGAGGGCAGCAGCAATGTCATTGTGTCCCAGGGACAGCTTGGCACTCAAGGAACACCTCAGCATTGCTCTCAGCCCTTGGCACTCACCGCATGGCAGCCCAGCTGGAGTTGGCACTGGTGTTGGGTCCAAGCAGGATCGTGTCCTTGAGGCTCTTTGGGTAGTGGTAGGTGCCCAGAGGGATCTCCCTCTCCAGTTCATTTTTCAGGGAGCTGGGTGGAGGGGACAGCAGTGCTTCAGGGACTACATGGTGTCCCCAGCCCCACTGTCACCAGCCATGGCGCAGGGTTGATACACTGTCCTGGGGTGCCACAGTCCAGGAGCTGAACCTTGTCCTGG